AAAAAAAACAACTTACGGTACCAGCCAAGTCTTGAAGTCCCAGTGAAATGAAAGCATCTTTAGCCTTAGAAGCTCAAGGTAGAACTGCTTCACACCCATTTTATAAGGAGTCCGTAGAGGTAGTTGGGTATCTGATTAACACGGGATCTCGGAGGACACCGGACTGGGGACACTGGGGCTTGGGCTGGGGCTCAGGGGCTCAGGGGAGCCGGACTGGGGGGACTGGGGCTCGGACTGGGGCTCAGGGGAGCCGGACTAGGGGGACTGGGGCTCGGACTGGGGCTCAGGGGAGCCGGACTGAGGGGACTGGGGCTCAGGGGAACAGGACTGGGGCGACTGGGGCTCTGACTGGGGCTCAGGGGAGCAGGACTGGGGAGACTGGGGCTCCGGAACTGGTGATCACTGGCATTTGGCAGCGGGGTCAGGAACTGGTGATCGTTAGCATTCGGCAGCGTGGTCAGGAACTGGTGATCGCTGGTATTCGGCAGCGGGGTCAGGAATTAGTGATCGCTGGCATTCGGCAGCAGGGTCAGGAAATGGTGATCGCTAGCATTCGGCAGCGGGGTCAGGAACTGGTGATCGCTGGCATTTGGCAGCGGGGTCAGGAACTGGTGATCGCTGGCATTCGGCAGCGGGGTCAGGAACTGGAAGTCGCTGCGGCTCGGAGGCGGCAGCGGCAGGAACAGGAGCCCGCTGCGGCTCGGAGGCGGCAGCGCCCGGGTCCTGGGGTAGCCGCGGCTCGGAGGCGGCAGCTGGAGTCGGCAGCTGGAGTCGGCCGGACCGCCGACAGGACACGGGGAGCTGGAGTCGGCCGGCTGCCGACAGGACACGGGGAGCTGGAGTCGGCCAGTCCGCCATCAGGACACGGGGAGCTGGAGTCGGCCGGTCCGCCAACAGGACAAGGGGAGCTGGATTCGGCCGGGCCGCCGACGGGACACGGGGAGCTGGAGTCGGCCGGGTCGCCGACAGGACACGGGGAGCTGGAGTCGGCCGGACCGCCGACAGGACACGGGGAGCTGGAGTCGGCCGGGCCGCCGACAGGACAAGGGGAGCTGGAGTCGGCCGAGCCGCCGAGAGGACAAGGGGAGCTGGAGTCGGCCGGGCCGCCGACAGGACACGGGGAGCTGGAGTCGGCTGGACCGACATGAGAAAAGCAAAAAATTGCGTAACGATAAAATGCGACACAACATATGAAATTTGGCTCGTCACCCAATACCAGGCTGCCATAGCACAACTCTACAGGGAACTTTTAAGATTTTGGTCCTGGTTTATTTGGTGACACCTGTGTTTACTGCTGCTAATGACAACTGGACCTTTACCAATACAGGTTCCAGGTTTTCATTTGAACAGAAAAAGAGCAGCTCATGAATCTGATTAGAGTGTAAAGCGCTCACCATGCTCCATGCAAATCTGCACACCATCCCCTCTGCTGCATTTAGATACCAGTCTCTTACCGTTGAGGTAGTTGTCATTGATCTCAGATACTGTATGTTGCTGCTGTGGACACATCTACAACAAGCACACAGGAAGGCAGGTCTCGAAGACATCTCTTTGTCACAAACTTTCACAAAGGCTTCATCCATTGAACATCATTATTGTTGTCGTTTAGCTTCTACCTGCTTCATCATTTTCTGCCTTTCTGGTAGGCCGTATGTTTTTGAAGGAGGCAGAAGAGGAAGTCTATGAGTCCCAAGTCATTTTTAGACTATTTATCATTTTGCTTTGAGATTTTGTAAATATGTAAATATTCGATTCACTTTCTGAAAGAAGTTTATGTTTAGAGTTATTGCATTTCCGCACATCTCCATGGTCAAATCTCTAAGTCCACTCATATTGGTACATATTCTGTTTAATACTTTAGTTCTTAATTGTCAGTATCACTCTCCCTGATTTCCTGTCATGTCTCTTATAAAAGCATAAAATGCCAAATAAAATGCCAGGCATAAATAGCGCCAAAATGGCTTTTAATGTCATTAAAATCTTACCGAATATAACTTTAAAAATAAAAAGCAGACTATTCACATCATTCTACTTAGTACATCCTTCTTTTTTAATTAAAATATCAGGTGAATGCATTGCTGATTAGCAATTCCTGCGAACATCTTCCTCACCCCATGGATGATCTTGATCCTGGTCTTCATGCAAGCCAGGCACTGCTCAGCAGAAGTTAGCAGGGGGTCGACCTCATCCTTATCACCATGACCCTCAGAGCACTCCCGCCTGCCTGGCTGTGGCCTCTACAGAAACCATGGGGTGAAACAGATATCAATTCACACAAGTTTAGATTTTTGGCCTTTAAATCAGGCACATAATTAAATTCACCATCTTTGTGTTATTATACCCAGCAAATTGGAATATTTGCTCCATTTTGTGAATTAATTTGTGTTTTTTCCGCACTCCAAAGAATGCCCTTCATGTCTTCAAGCACACTGGGCATTTAAACTGCCTGACCTAATCTACATTTAATTAGAAGCACACTTGTATTCTAAATCTAGGAGACCTGCTTTTTATGCCTTGCAAACATGACTAACTTTAAGTCCTGGCTTTGTTTGATGAGCCTTCTCTTTTTTTGTTATTCTTTCTGCTGTCTTTTTGGGAGGTTTTTGTTTAGTGGATACAAATTAGAGCGATGCCCTGCTGCTCTGTTTTCTGCTTCCAAAGCATATAATTAGCCCAAACAAGCAGAAATGAGTGTGATTCTGAATCTGTGTGCTTCTCTGCTCTGCTAATGAGAGACGAGGAGGCTCACTCTTACTCTATTTATAATCCGGGATGATTTCTCCAACGGCTCATGTGCTAAGAAAGACATCATTTTACAGGAAGCAGGGGGCTTATGTTTGATCACCGTGGGTGGGGTAGGAGTCGGGATGTGAGGCAAGATGGAGTGGAGGGGGACGGGAGCCTGGTGGGGAGTAGGAAGGGATTTTGAAAATCTCTATTTAAGCATTGAAAACCCAGCCATGCAGAACTGATGGGATTTTTGACGCCGCTGGTCAAGATGTTCTGGCTGCCGTTCTCCTTTCTGTAATTCAGGCCAGGTTGCATTGGCTTTTAAGAATTGGAACCAGACACATTACAACAAAGTACACATGGAAATTTGACCTGTATCTTTCACTGACCATCTATGGAAGATTTAAAATGATGAAATCTAGCTGTAAGGAATCTCTGTATTTGTGCCTGTGAGTCCTTCGCATATCTCTTAAACCGCTCATCTGATCTACTTTACGGGTGTATTGCGGGTGTATTGCTGAGGACCCAAAGGAGTGCTTTCATGTACAGTATATATATATATATATATATACACACACACAGTATATATATGACTTTTTCTTTTGTAATTTGTCACACTGTCATCTACAATTTAATCATAACTGAGAAAATGTTGAAGTTGTAATAAAATTATTTTCTTACAAAAGCTGAAAAAGTTGCTGAGATGTACGTCTTCAGTAGGAACCAATGGGCTAAGAGCTAAGAGCAATATATATTGCTCTTAGCTCTTAACTAGGGAGAAGTCATAATGTATTGATATATGGACTAATACCTTGTTAGTTTTGGTCTCTGGGGTTTGTTGAAAATTACTAGAATATCATAATTATAAAAGATATCCAGCACCAATCCATGTGGAGATTGGTGAGGTTTAATGTGTCTGCTTTGATGTTGCAATAGTCGTGTAGCTTTTGTTCCCCACTCACCGTTCGTATGTCAGTCTCCGACAGCGTCCCATCAGAGCCGTGGGTGATGGCCCTGATACGGTCAGTCAGGCTGCTGTATTGTCGCTCTAACCTGAATCTCATCCTCTGGGAGACAATGTCCAGGATGTTGCCAATGTCTGAACTGAGCTGCATGACGGAGGAAGGTCGCTGTCCCCTGACTGACTACGGGGTCGACTGAGGTGAAGTGCATGGCCAAAGGGCAGATAGTTTGGAGCACAGTACAGAAGGGGGACTGTAATAAAAGCCACAGAGGTCTAGAGGTCTCACAGAGTCTGGAAACACAGAGAGAAAGTTTGAGAGTGAGCTGAGAAAAACCCCAAATGAGCACAATTCATGAGTTTATCACTTAGCAATGAAATATCTAATGCATCATATTGTAGCAGAGTCCTGCACAGGTCCTGTTTTACAAACAAGCGCCTCTGCACAAAGCTCAGTGTTGCCAGATCAGATTTTCCAGCCCAATCACAACTTAAAACCCACAAAATGTAATAAAAACCAGCCAAACTCATAACCAGAAACCTGTAAACCCATAAA